TATGCAAGGTGTTGCCTTAGTTGAATGGGGGGAGAGAGACGTTTGCTCAACTTTTCATGTTCTTTTCTGATATCATGTTTCCCTTCTGCAGGAAAACCCAGATCTGTGGAAGTGGTTAATTGGCCAGGAGCAACCCCCTGAGGCACTCAAGACTAATCCTGTGAGATATGATCTAAAAGTTTAGATTCCATTTATTGCTATATTATTCGTGTGATATAATCTAAAATTTAAAATTCCAGTTCGTGCGAAATTCTTCATCGATTCAGTTTTCATTCAAATGATCTGTTTTTGTAGGTTTTTACTGCAGTACGCAACAAGGTCTTGAACAACCTGAACAGCTACTCTGCTCCTGAGACACGGGCAACGCCTGGACAGCCATGGGTTAGAGGATGGGATGATATAAAGAAGGGCCAGGGCGGCCCTATAACCGGGAACCAGTAGTACCGCCATCACCTTTTCAAGCTAAATTCCAAATTGCACGTTCATTTGTAATGAGTTAGCAACCATAAAATGTTTGAAAAGTTCCAATGCCTAGTCTTAATTTAAATAACAATGGCAATACAATAAAACAAAAAGGTATGAGTAGATGTCTTCTATCTCGTCTCATGAAATGTCTCATGGTTCTCATTTTAGATTGTAAAATATTATATAATTCATACACTTAATCTGAGATTCTCAGTCATGGATCTGCGTACTTTTCAGTTTTTATAATGAAACAAAATAAAGTTTGGTAATTTTCAAATGGTGTTGTTTACATATGGTGTGTTCTTCTCCTCCGTAGGCATAGTTCATGGATTGAAGTCTAAAATGCAAAATGTAACCAACCAATGGTTTGTGGTATAACTATAAATACCCGATAGAATTTGTGGGTGGAAGTGGAAATTTTGCATTCTAGCTGGCTACATATGAGAAAGTATCATATTCAGTGGGGATAACTTTCTGAATGGATTAAAATCCACAACCTCACGGCTCTCGTTTCTTTGTAGCAATAACAGATGAACCCAAGAGAAGCATCATCAACAATGGGCTCTGCAACTCTACCCAAGTCCCCGTCTTTCCTCTTCTTCCTCCTCCTCCTTGTGATGCGCCTCAATTTCCCATTGATGTCGAAGACATTGGTAGAATCAGCCTCTGATGACCCAGCTCCAGCAGCATGGCCCCACCAATTCCACTCTGTGCTTTTCATGAACAACAGCAAGGGAGCTCTGCAAATTGTGGACCTCTGGTACGACTGGCCCAACGGCCGAAACTTCAACATAATCCAGAGCCAGCTGGGGAAGCTAACCTACGACCTGGAGTGGGACAATGGTACCTCTTTCATCTACACCTTGGATGCCAACAGAGAATGTAAGACCCTGCATTTCCCTGTTGGCATTCTCCGGCCCAATTGGCTTGATGGTGCTACTTATCTGGGTCAGCGCCACGTGGATGGTTTCCTGTGTAATGTGTGGGAGAAGGTTGACTTCATCTGGTACTATGAAGATGTCCTCACTAAGAGACCTGTCCACTGGGTCTTCTACACAGGTATATGATCATAGAACATCACCCTTTACCAATTTCAGCTTTTTGTTGTTGCTTATTGGCATAATTTTATAACCCCTGTTGAAGGCTGCATTTTGATTTGATGGTAACGTATTTGTAGCCGTTAGATTGACGGGTTCAACATTCTCTATTAAGATTGTGTTCTCTAGTAGGGTGTTTTTCATTTTCTTTGATGATAATGGTTTATGGAATATGCAGGGTTTAATGCTCATGTGATGACATTTGAGGTGGGAGCTGTGCTTGGGGATGCCAAGTGGGAGGCTCCTGTTTACTGTTTTGGGGAGGAGGCTGAGGCAGAAAGGAACAGGAGCTCTGTGCTTGAATCTATGGTAAGTCATCATTCTCATGGGAGTTTGATGAGAGCTGGTTCTCGTGCAACCTGAATGCCATTAGAATTAGCCAATGGCTATTTCTCTGGAGAAAGCTGGTTTTCTCGTGACATGTTTGAAATAGCTTTTGGGATGTAGCAAAGTGATTCTCGTTTATAATTTCAGTTGGCATTCTAGCGAACGCTTGCAATATGATATGTTTCGCATGTGAACCAAACTTCTCGTCTGTGCTACTTGCAAAGCAAAAATTCTAACCATTGGTGCCAATAGTGCAAAAGAAACATCATGATGTAATGCTGTGTTGCATAGGGTATGCCATCAAATTTTCGATCTATTCTCACAGGTTGAAAAAACTCACTTAATCTGCTAACATAATATGTCAGACTATCGATAAAAATCGTTGTTCATATAACAATGTTTAGATCATGGTGATCCGAGAAATGTTCGCGGGTGGGCTTTTGAAAAATCTCGAAAATGTATATGTATTGGCCCATAGCCCAAGCAATTATGGGCTCTTTATCACAACACAACGCAACCCAACTTATCTTCTCTCTTTCTTTTTCTTTTTCTTTTGTTTAGTGACATACTACAGCGCCAATATGATACAAGCCGACGGCCGAGAATAGCTCGACACTTCTCTGTGAAATCTAGATAAATGGTCTCGATGAACCAAACAAATCCAACGCAACCCATTTGATCAATTTCCCCTCTCCATAATTGATCATTTCAATTTTCGATACAGAGAGAAAAAAGAAGTAGGTTTTATACGCAAAATTCTGGAGCTGTGGGCCGTGGCAGAGTCTCTATAGGCAGCGCAATTGAAATGGTACGAGTTGCAGTCGTAGTAAACACAGAGAGGCAGTGAGATTGCAATAAAATCAAGGGAATGGTTATCGGGTCGGAGCCGGGTGGCGGGAGCTCCGATTCCTCAGGCGGATGGAGCGTGGCTCGTGGGTTAGTGGTGAAGACGCTGGTGCTGATAGGTGGAGCTCTTGTGCTGAAGCGGCTTACAAAGTCCACCACCCGCTGGGACCATGCCCGCCTTGTTTCTCGTTCTATTTCCGGCGAGAAGTTCTCCAAAGACCAAGCAGCTAGAGATCCTGACCATTACTTCAACATCAGGTTGGTCCAAAAATCCAGTTTTTCAACTACCCAATTGGGCCAATTTGGTCCTTCATTTCTTGTTCAATTCAATTCAGTTCAATTGGGTTTTGGTTTGAGTTGTTTGTAGTTGATTATTGCATAATATTTTGGCTTCTGTTGCAGGATGGTTACTTGCCCAGCAGCTGAAATGGTGGATGGTTCTAAGGTCTTGTATTTTGAACAAGTAAGCATAGTTCTACACAAAGCCAGTAACTTTTTTCTTTGCTGTAGACTTTATTATTTGTGGCAAATGTAAGCTTAAATATGTGTGTTTTGTTAGGCTTTCTGGAGGACTCCTCAGAAGCCCTTTCGTCAGGTATGTTGTTGCCTTCAATTCTTACCTAACTTGCCTGGTATTTTTTTTCTCTTTAGTGATTCTTAGTGCTACCTGTTTGCAGAGATTTTATATGGTGAAGCCTTGCTCCAAAGAGTTGAAATGTGATGTTGAGGTGAGCTTTTTAATCTCGTTTGCAGTTTAATTTGAAGAGCATGTTGTTAATGATATTGTAATGTATTATGTGTAATTTGAACTTCTCTTCTTTCATTAAAAGATTAAAATCCCACCCCTCCCAACCCTTTTTGGAGAGCGTACGTTTACGATGTCTATCTTAGATTTATTCATTAAGTAAATCATTACTAGCGCTCTTTTACTTCATACACACTAGCATGGGACTAGAATGTGAGATGTGTCTTGGGATTCAGTAGCATTCTAATATTTTGAACTTCTTATTAATGAGCAGCTAAGCTCATATGCAATTAGAGATGCGGAGGAGTACAAGAATTTCTGTGATCGCTCAAAGGACCAGCGCCCGTTGCCTGAAGAAGTTATCGGGGTTAGTTTTTTGTCACATAATCACATTAAACTCACGATCTTAGCTTGTCAATGCATACTTTTAGGTTCTCTGGTATCAGACATATTATGTATTATTGTGGCTTACAAATGCAGTTTAAAGTTCAGGTGTAGAAAATGTTAAGATGAGTTTATAGCTGATTTTCAACCGGCTAGCTTCAACCTGATAGAAGTTATTACATCAAACCTTTCAGAGAAAGGATGTTACTTCAAAATTTAATCTAAGATGGACTTATTGAAAACTTCAGAATTTCACAAGGCTGAATTATTTTTAAATGCTATAATTTGGGAAAAGTCATTAGTACCATGGGACCCTTGATCTTCTTTGTTTTCTGTGCTAACCTTGCCTATGAGGTCTGAGGCCCACTCTTGTGAGTAAGAACTTAAAATCATATTTATGCTTTGGAGTTGTTCTTTTTCCCGGGCATCAGATTCTCTGATTTTTAGGCATTTACATTTACAGACAGAATTTCAAGTATTTATTCAAATTTAGTATCTGTCTGCAGGATATTGCAGAGCATTTGACAACAATACATCTGAGACGTTGTGAGCGTGGGAAACGCTGCTTATATGAAGGTTCAACTGCGCCTGGCAGTTTAGCATTTACATTTACAGACAGAATTTCAAGTATTTATTCAAATTTAGTATCTGTCTGCAGGATATTGCAGAGCATTTGACAACAATACATCTGAGACGTTGTGAGCGTGCGAAACGCTGCTTATATGAAGGTTCAACTGCGCCTGGCAGTTTCCCTAATCTATGGGTAATTGTTTGTTACTGTCTTTTTTATTTCCCCTCTAATGTGAGCTGATCACATGAAGACCTTGTTTTGCGCCCATGGATAAGAGTTGGGTTACTTGAAACTGCAATTAATCAAATTACTACTGTTAAGTGATATCATTTTTCCCCTTTATAACAGAATGGAGCAGCATACTGTACTTCGGAACTTTCAATTCTTAAAAATAATGAGATACATGCCTGGGATAGGGGATATGATGGCGATGGAAATCAAGTCGGTTTTTCTACTCTTACTCAATCACTCTAATCACCTTATTGGATGTTTTAATGTTGTAGTTTTCCCAGGAATAAATCGAACTTCTTTGTATTGTTACAGGTTTGGGGACCAAAGGAAGGTCCATATGAATTCAAGCCTGCACCTGCCTCTAGTACCAATGACATGTTTTCTTCTTTAAATTTTCCTATTCAGCAGTCTTTGGAGAAAAGAATAGAGGGTTCATTTGTATTGCAAGAATAATCATGTTACATATTACCATCCTATGTAAATGTTCAAATTTTTTTGGTATCTCAAGTCTATTTATTTATCTTTCCTGTCAGTCATCCTATTTTTCTCACTGGTCTTGTCTTCTTTAATATCCTACTTTATGTTACAAGCAAAATTTAGTGTCTTCCACTCCGCCGAGTGTATGAAAGGTTGCTGTAGTACATGGAAAGTTGCCAACATGCTCAGGAATGCATCCCTAACCGTTGGAAGTGAGATTGTTTTTATTTGAAGTGAATTCTTACTGCAATGGTATATCTTTAACCTTATTATGCATTGAATTGTAGGTGTGATCAAAGCAAATTGAAGAGAAAGATACGGTTCTATGTATCAATTGAAATTATACAAATGATTGTGCCCAATCCATTTGATGTTACAGTAGCAGCTACTATGAAACTATCTAGCCCTGAAAGCCGATGTTAATGTAGAAGTATAATCCAACAAGTGCCACAACTCCCACTACAATAGCAATAGGCAGTGCCTTCCTGTTCCAGGTTAAGCAGAGCATTAAATGTCCAATTCGTCACAAGGAAGAAAAATATTTGAGTTCATACTGAAAGGAATATCAAGACTTACCCAATTGCTTCTTCTCTCTGCAACTCCGCCTTTCGTTGCTTTCGGACATCTTTGCTGTTTGCATCTTTGTTCACCGGAGGCTGGTATACCCTAAACCTCCGTTTGGGAGCACCACAGACTGCAAGCCACAGATTTCCATCATGATAAAGTTACATGGGTTGTTTGTTGGTGTCTGACTTGATAAAGTCCTCAAACCAAACAAATTTGTACATAAAGGGGCTTAAAGGCTGTAAATTTGATGGTGAAATGGATGCCATATGTAAGACGAAGTAAATTACCAGGGCAGAAGTACTTGTCAGGCAACTTCTCAAAAGGAGTTCTGTCATTGTATATATACCTGCATCAATACAACAAGAACCCAATTCAAATAACGTTTTATATAACCAAAACAACACAAACAAAGCAAGGAAGGAGTTATATGTGGTACCCGCAATCGCGACAAATATAGGCTTGCTTGGAGGCAACACGCATGGAGAACTTGGGTGCGGCAGAAGAAGCAAGAGACTTTCGCTGTTGCTTAGGAGAAAGCAGCAATAGGCTATGTGATGAGGAGAAGAAGGAGGACTTTAGAGCAAAACGATCCCACGGCAGCCGTAGGCCGGCATTGCCCTTCGGAGCTGCTAATGGAGATGAACGTGCTAGATGGCTTCTTGTTGAGGGTGCCTGCAATTGCAGGGCCATCTTCTACTTAGGATAGTACTGTGGGAGTGTAGCAGTGTAGTAGGAATGAGAGGAAGATATGAAGAGATAAGAGAGTGGTGGGGAGAAATGGATGAATTGGAAGTATGCGAGTCTCCCATTGGATGTCGCGTGGCCTCCATAATCCCCACAAACCAACAAACACCAGCAGCCTCCCGAGTCTTCTTTTTTTGGTTTTTTTAAAAAAAAATTTTTTTTTATGTGAACATCCCTTTCTAATTTTCAAGCTCCACCAACATGACTGAAATTACCATTTTGCCCCTAAAACGAACCAAGCCCCATAAACAGAGTCCCCATCTTGCTCTTGGTTGGACCATCGTACGGGCGGTCCTTTTCTAATTGCTAGCTGCAGTTCGAGTAGTTAATTGAATTGAAACAAGAGTTCTGGGTTCATAAGTCACCTCAGATATTAAACGATGGAACAATCACCATCATGGCTTTCAATGACATTGTATCAATCCCAAGTCAAAGTACAAAAGAAGAATTTGTAATCTGATAAATTTTCACGACATCGAAATTTTTACACGGTGATGACGATTAGTATCTCAACTACAACAACAAAGCTACTACTGTAAAATTCAGAGGCTGCAGAGGAGGCAAAAGTCATAGCTGCTACCAAGGTTTCAGGTCACCCACCGGCCCTGCAGTCCAGTTTAGGATCTTTTCACCCGGCTTCAAGTAAACACCGGGGCCATGCGGCAATTTACGCGCAAGCCCATTCAGAACTTGATGAAAAGCATCTCCTGCTTCAGCAGGTTGTGGGAACAACATTGCTTGCTTCATTGAAGGATTGGCAAGCAATCGCTGCTTTCTCAATATCAGTTCTGGTGGGATTGAAGTGAGTATGGTGTCCAAGTTGGGGACATCTTCCTCAGCTACAAACACACCAATTTCTTCCCAAGGGATTGCATCAGCAAAGGGTAGAACAATGTCATCTGCTATGATAACAGGAATGCAGCCGAAAATCACTGCTTCAACCAATCTTGGACTCCAAGGAGCCCAGCCGAGTGGACACAAACAAAAGACTGCTCGTTGCATGTCCTCATAGTATGTGGTGGGGTGCTCAGTGGAAATGTCAAAAAGAGGATTGTCTTTGAAGTTCTCCCACACTGCTGCTCGTGCGCCTCTGCAAAGTTATAGAACAAAGTTAGACTCAGACATCTCCTATCTTCAGTTAAATCCATCATAGTGTTATCTAGCAAACCAAGGAACCCTAAACTCTGTCTTCTAAAGATAGCAATACGAGAAAGTTGCATTATATACTTCTGCCCTCTTTTGACTATTTTTAAACACCCATCAGAGGTTTATATCTTGTTTAATAAATGCTGTCATGTTTTAACTTCATAAAATGGCATGACTTCTCTTTTCAAATATGTTTAACGTAATCCTTTTTCACCAGCAACAACAATGGAAGGATGCTTTGGGCACCCTCAAATGCTATAAGCTTTGTAAGCATTACCTTGCATAATAACCACCTTCTGGGTCATTTCCCACATCATAAAACAATCCACGGAAGTAAACAAAGATGGATCTAGGAGTTTTCTCAGGAATTAGGTGGGTTTGCATTTTCTGTGGAGGAGCATAAGGAGGAACCGTAATTGAGCCCTCTTTCAAGCAAACATGATTCTGTTGCCCAAAAGTCTGAACCAAAGTTGCACGCTGGAGCAAGGGAAGAATTCCTCTTTCAATCGCCTTTTCTTCCTGCAATAACATAGGCAATCATTATGCATAGGGGAAAAGAGATAATTGGCATGCCAGATAAAATAAATTAACATCACATAATGACAGCTGAGTACATCATGAAGGAATGAAGATCTACAGGCTTATGAGGAACAAGCTAACAAGAGTAGGCCAATTGATTCAAATATGCATTCAGTCTGTCAGATATGACGGGGCACAAGAAGAAGCAAACCAAGCTTTTAACCTGATAATGAAAGCATGCTCCAAAATCATGAGGCACTACAAAAAAGTGATCTGCCCCTTCTGTCCGGTTCCAATAAGGCCAATTTGAAGATATCAGTTGTATCGCACTTCTCATCATCCGCGGTGACTTAAAAGGCAAAGGAAGGCCATTGGGCGTCAGGTCACAAGTAGTGTATACAGGAGTATAAAACCAATCAGCTTCCTCAGGATTAAGGGTTCGGACGGGGCTGGATAGGAGAAACCGATGCATATAGATCTCAGCTGCAAACATGTGGTTCAGGCATCTTGGGTCCTTCTGCAGAATCTTCTTGTTGTATTTGCTTGGAAGCTCATACACAAAAACTTTCAACCTTCCCACTGGGTCATCGTCCAAGACATCACCAGCACTACCTACATTGTGTTTAAACAAACCAAACTTAAGTTAATACGCTTAAACTTCTCAGTAGATTCTGAATCTATACACAGTATACAGACTTCTCAAGGAAAACTCCAACAAATGCAAAAGGATTTTTTTTTTAATTTTAAAAAAAAAAAACATAATTCTTGGAGTTCATAAGCACGGACACAATGGCATTATGTCTTTGCTACCTTTCTGGGAGCTACAACACCAGTTAAATAAACCAGCATTACAACATATAACTTCAACTATTGGAGGATCAAAATCAAAGCCTTCATACCTAACTTGAAAAACAGCAAGCATCACACTAAAATTTTGAGACCGGGATTAATTCCCAGACTAACCTGTTTATTGTCAAATCAAAAGTAAGAACAATAAGAGCTAAATCAGCAACCGCCAAGGCATAGAAACAGTTAAACACTAATTTTAGATAACAGATCCCTAAAATATCAAAATCTACAAACATTCCAAAGCACCCCATCAATCAAAACCCAAACTTTCAAGTGATCAGAACTGATATGGCAGTAAAGGACAGCAAAATGAAACTTGAAATAAAAAAATGGCGAACTCCAAAAGAATCAAATCATGTAAATCGACAAAGATGATGTCTTTCTCCGTACCTGAAATTCTCTCAGTGCGGGCCTGCTCCCCTGAGCCAATCCCCAACAGAAAGGCAGCACAAAGAAGCACAGCAAAACCCAACTTCCAAATTCTCATCTTTCTGCCCAATCCTTTTGCTTCCTCAGCTAAAAAATCAGTAACCCAACAAAAAAAGAAGGGTGGTGGAGGATATATGAGCCAAAGGAAACAGATGGGTTCTTCAGCAATCTGAAGAAGATGATAGTTGGAACGTCAAAAGCAGAATCGGTGCAAAGATTCCTTCAAATTTGTTGGGCTTTTTTCTTAGTTTAGTCGCTGGCTTCAGCAGCAGCAGAGCTCGAAATGAAAAAGTAAATTTGGTCTGAAGAAACAAGGAAACCAAGAGGTACGCGGATCTCTGGGCTGTTGTTTTTGAATTTTATTCAGCCTCCATGCTGGTCTGGTGGCAAATCCATCTCAGTTCCCGACACCGAAGACCAAGCCTCAACCTGCTCTTTTCTGATTAGGAATACCAAATATTTCTACTTTGGTTAATAAAATAATAAATTGGAGTGGTTTTAAATTTTTACCATAAATTGAATAAAATAAGTCCAACTTATTTTTCGCGGGGAAAAAAATTAGAGCCCATCTTATTTTCGTTTTAAAAAAATTTAAATATTGTTATTTTCCAAAAAGAAAACAAAAATGTTGACTTGGAAGTTATTAGCTAAACACTGCTAGATATTTTTGTTCAAAATAAATACTGCTAGATTTGCTAATAAGTTGGCAACTTGGCATGTAGACTCAATATTATTATAATTAAAAATCTGAGTACAAATTGAAATTAATAATACTTATGATTATTATCTGAATATCTTTTTCTTATATTGAATTTTTAAAAAAAATATTAAATTGAAATTAAGGGCATATTTGGTATCCTACTTAGATTGTATCCAATTTTATGAACTCAAATACGGATTTTAAGTCCAACGCCACAAAAACTCGTTTGGTATGCCCATTTTTAAAAACTCAAACCCAAAAAAAACTCAAAAACAACCCATTATTAAAAACTAAAAAGGTGAAGTTGTATAATTTTTTTTTTCTCTCTCTCTCTCTCTCTCTCTTTAATTTCAATTTGGGAATCTAGGGTTTCTGGAAAAACTCAAAAACAACCCCATTATTAAAAACTAAAAAGGTGAAGTTGTATAATTTTTTTTTTTCTCTCTCTCTTTAATTTCAATTTGGGAATCTAGGGTTTCTGAATTTCTTATTTTGATTTCAATTTCAATTTTAAAAAATCTTTAAAATAGTTTGGAATTTAATACCAAACAAATTTTTAGATCTTAAAATCACCATTTGAAAACTTATATTTTTAAAAAGAATTTTTGAGTAAAATACCAAACATGGCCTAAAACATTCCGGTTTGTCAATGTCATTAACAGGGAAACTTATTTGTAACGGGGTAATAAGACAGCTGTATCTATAACACTCATTGGTCTCCTCTATTTTTGAAGTTAATAAGCTGGCAAATCACAAATGTACGGATGCAATGGCTTCCATTTCTCACAAGGTATTTAGTCATTTTCACAAATTAATTAAAGAAACACGACACGTATTTCCCATTTCATATGAGATTAATTCCAGTGCAAAAATACACACAAATTATTGTGACCAATGACCATGACCTTCTAAATAAATGCAAACTGTTGGAATAGTGATACTAATAAATTGGACATGTACATAAAGGTCATGATGGCCTCATGCACAAATCGACACTGACTCTCCAACGATCTATCACCTAATCTGTTGCACTGATTGATTAACTCAGCAATTAGTTGTTAAACATTGAAATTACCGGGTCTTCAAATCGTTGATTAAATTTTAATCTCTACATGTTCTATTGGTAAACCCTAATTACTAAACTAAACATATATGTTATCTTCTAAAAATTTCATAGAAGGGTTTCTATGTGGGTAAGCTTTTCTTGGCCTTCAAACAAAGTGTTAGGTTCAAGCAATTAATAACTATGGTCTATGGTGGTGATTCAATAACTTGATAAAAAATAAAATATTGAATTTGGTGTCAGTTCTGTTGTATTTGAGTTCGAATTTTATTTATGCGGATTCGGATAGTATTTCTTCAAAAGAAAATTAATATTGCTG